TTTCTTCCAGTCCGCAGGTACGCTGGCCTCTTTCCACACCCTCTCTAGTATAGGTACTGTCAACTCGGCTGATGTCTCTGGGTCCATTTTAAATGCCTCTGCTGGGATTCGGTCTGGTCCTGCTGCTTTTCCAGCTCTTAGCATCTTGATTATCTTCAGAACTTCTGTACTCGTCGGGCGGTTGGTGTTCACCGGTATTTCTGCTTCCGCTGTTGCTATTATTGGGTGCGTTGTAGGTGGCGGTCGATTTAGAAGTCTTTCGAAGTGTTCAGCCCAGGGTTTGGTGATTGAATTTCCATTGTTACCCTTCAATGACTTAATTTGTGTTGAACGTTTCCCCGATAAGAACCTAGTTGTTCGATAGAGTATTGCGAAGTCTCCTTTGCCTGCAACTTGTTCTGATTCACTTGTCATAGCTTCATAATATTGTCTTTTGTCTTCCCTGACACTTTTCGCCACTCTTTAGTTCAATGTATTTTAGCTTGCATTCAACTCCTATTTTTGTTGCGCATCGATGCACTGGATAATCTTTTGTTTCACTATCCTTCTCTCTTCTATTAGTCTCCAAGTGTCCGTAGTGAGCCACTGTTTGTCCTGTCTCTTCTTTCTGCCTAGAACTTCCATGCAGGCTCGATTCCACACCACTCTCGGGTTGTTCCAGTGTTTTTCAACGGTGGTCTCTTCGCTTGTGTTGATTTGTGTCTTCGTTTTTTTCTTTATGAATGCAGTGAAGATGTCCTTTGTGGCCTGATCCTTTACTTTTGAGTATTGAACTTGAAGGAGGGTCTGTATAGAATAGCCCAAAAGGCAGATGTGCCATTGAAACCCTATGTTTTACATGGAATTCAAAAAAATAATAATAACAACCAGTCGAACTGGTAATTCCATTAAATCAAATTCATAATTTTCAAGTTAATTTGCGGTTTACACATTTCATGGTGAAATATCATTACAATTTTCTTTGGAAATGGAAATTATTCAAACCACTTCGATTCGTCTAACAAGCATTACTGGTTGATGTGTGAGATATTCCACTTTTCATTCTAACCAGTCTGTATTATATCAAAAATAACAGCTTCATTTTCTACTGTGTTTATATATTGTACAAAATTTTCGGCATAGTTTATTGCGTAATATTTTCTCATCATCCAGGATCTTCAAATAGAATTCAACGTGGCGGTAGACCATGTGAAACACTTCTGCCTGACATGAAGCGCATACCAAGAAATTATGATGTCTCTCTTTTGTCTTCTTCGTTAAATGCATGTAATTTAGTTCATTGGCAATCAGAAACGTTTCAGGAATTCATTCTGTGAACCAAGGACACAACCTAAGAACAGCTAGCTATCTCTTGCATTGCAATACGCTCCAATCCACGATTATGTTTTCTCTCACATTAACTGGAAGCTTGCAAATCAGCAAGTTTTAACCACCTTAACCACCTATCAGAGTGTAAAACGTAATTCAGCGTTGTAATTTTATTAAATATCTGTGAAATATCTACGGAATTTTTCGGTAGCTCAAATTTAAGCAGGTCGCCATTAATAGTAATAACAATAATTTGCTTTATTCCATAAACAGTACATGTGGTACAGAATGGAATCCTCAGCATTTCACTACAGTATTGCATCCAGTTAGTACATTATCAATAAATAGAATTCTACATAGATTAAGGAAATCTCAGTTCATTATGACAACAACACATTGGCATGTCGGTAGCAAAGCCAAAGTTGAACAGTGTTTGAAGGTGTTCGAAAAGTAGGTGCTATCATATTTACTGGCGTAAGCGGAAGACAGAAACAAACAAAGCTGCGCATGACAGAAACAAGAGAGAGGGAGAAAAGGAAAAGAAAGAAAGAAAACGTTGTAACTATAAATGATATGAGTTCGAAAGACGAGATCCAGTTGTTCTACTAACTATTCAATGAATTATAGGTGCCACACCTAATGCTTTCTTTATCACACAGAACACGAGCTAAGTAGGGTATGCTTGAGCTTTTGTACTTGCTGGTGCGAGCATATAGTTTTCTATATAGGCTTCTGGTTTTACCTGATGAGATGCAAGGGGAGAGTTGTGAGTGAGTGAGTTAGATAAAATGGATTTGGCCCATTTTTCACATGAGACCATGTGCCTATCAACCAGAATATTAACAGGCTGGTTAAGTGGTACTTTGCTTACTCTGCTGACAACCTTCAACATCCTGCGTAATATGTTATATTCTTTCTTCAGTAGCTCGGGAAAAACTAAGGGGGGACAATAGAGAATAATAGGCAGAATGCGAAAGTTAACGAATTTTATGAGTAAGAGTTGGGTTGTACCAGAATATCTTAACTTCTTGATGTAGAATGTAAGACGGAATATTTTCTTAGAAATCGCCAAGATATGAGACGACCAGGAGAGATCAGCAGATAGAATGACGCCAAGATATTTAATTTCCGACTTGGTTTCTATTTCAGTGCCGTCTATGTTGCATACCTCGTGAGTGCCAACAAGTTTGTTTAGGTCGGATTTATGTGAAACTGACTGTTTGGCATTTGGAGGGGTTTAGGGTAAGACTATTTTCCTTGGACCACTGGCTGATTTCTGACAGAAAGCCATTAAGTTCAGAGCAGTCGCTTTGACATTTGATAGGTAAAGATACTGTCAGGTCGTCAGCATATTTGACAAAATTGATGTCATTTGAAGATGGTAAGTTATGTAGAAAGAAAGAAAAGAGAAGTGGAGAGAGTATACCACTTTGGGGGACACCAGCTTCAGTGAGCGCAGCAGAGGAGGATTTACCTTTGTATATGGTGTACTGCTTTCTGTTATAGAAGTAGGAATGCAGCCAGTTAGTGAACCAGGACTCAATTTTTGTCATAGAGAGCTTATTTAGCAAGAGACATCTAGGTACAGAGTCGAAAGCAGAAGTGAAGTCGAGAAACATGCAGCGGACGTATTTGGCACCTTTATCTAATGATTAGACGATACTGTTGTGTAAGACGGCTGCAGCGTCTAAAGTGCTCCTACTCTGTCTATAGGCAAATTGTTTGGGGTCTTCAAAGTTTTTAAGGGAGGGTTTAAGAAATACTATATGTATATATATATATATCCAAGTAGGCCATCAAGGTGATCACATACTTTGTATTGTGAATCATAATTTTAGCTACCAAAGAGAGGATTAAATTTCAGGTTGAAAATTTCATTTATTTCTTTGCATAATATCACTACAGCTTTGTCCTACATTTAAGCGTTGAACAACGACAGTGTCCGCATGAATGGGCTACATTATATGCAATAACAAAAATGATAATAGTAATAATAATCACTTTATTCCAAACTAAAGCAAGAACAACAAAACACTGTAATGCGATGAATTCAATTCAGTTTCATGTCATGGGCACTAAATCTTCCACAAAGTCATTATAAACATTTGTGTATAATTCAATAATAATTTAATTTGATTTTTAAAGGGAATTAATTGTATGAAATAATGTTTATACACAAGTGAAATTTTCAGCAATATATATTTTGTAAAAGTTTATTGCTTTACAGAAATAAAATACAAATTAGATAACCATAAAAGCTGAAAGTTAATAAAAGAATAACAAATGTGTAATAATAATGCTAGGAATAATTTACTGTCTATTTAAGAATTTGATGAAGGATTTCATCACGAGCTGACATCAGTTAGAGAACCACTGGAAAACCAGCTGGGAGTACTGGACACTTGTTTTGTCTCGGATTGAGACTCTTCATCAGTACACACCCACCGCCATAGTTCGAACCCAGGACCTCCTGGTTACAAGGAAAGTGATCTCGTAGACCATTGAGCCCCCGGACTCTACTCAATGGCCCATGAATTCTAACTTTAAGGATTATGAAGTAGGTCTGTAAACTCTTGTTGATACTAGGTAGTTGGCTGTAATTGGTAGGAAGCCTTGTACCTGAATTTCTTGCTAGTTGGCACTTGTTAGCAGGGTGTATCTGCGTTGATGGCACGAGGTAGAATGCTCGCCAACCACACAGGTGGTCTGGGGTTCGATCCCTGGCCACAGACGCACTTCTTCACCTCGCTAAGCCAGTAATAAGACTGGTAAAGCGGGAAGGTTGGGCATGAGACTAGCAACCCCATCCTGTAAAAATAAACACCACTGCTATAAAAACTTCAAGCCTCTAGCTTGAGGCCCAGTGTTCAGCTGGGAACGTGAAGGAATAAAAAAACAATCTACAATCTTGAAGGAACACATGTCTTCTCTGAGATTTGAACCCACATCACCCAGTACTGGCTGCAGTCACAGACGTTACCACTGAGCTATTTGGACTCGCGATTCACCTCCTGCAGGACTCTATTGGATACTATGATTGGACAGTAGTTAGTAACTAGCGCAATGTGTCTAGTCCTTTGCCTGATGCAGGCTGAAACCAGTCAGGGCAGATGTAGTATTACCTCTGTTATTTGGTTTAGTGATCTCCGTTTTTATTTTAACCTTGAATATGTCCTTTTAACTTGACCTAACTTGTCTATTTTCTCACCTCTTAACTCTTTATTAATTTCATATATATTTCTATGTCAATTCCGTGTGTCATCAGATTCTTCGAAATAAGTGTTGCGCAAATACATTACACGATTCAGACAAATTACGTCTTCTTATTACTTTATCTAAATTAATAAAGGGAACTAATTGTTGTAGATTAATTTTATGATAGACATTTGGGTACAGTTGAGTGAGTATTGAGCGATGTTACTTCACAAAATGAAACTCACCACTTCTAATCACGGAATTATGAGGGAAAATAAACGAACACTTCTATCAGTACAGTTGGAAAAACAAGCAAACTAGGGCTAATAGAATTCCTTCTATCAAACACTTAAGTTGTTATGCTTCTTACTTAGACTGGGAGACATTACAGTATCAAGTTAAATCATCAACACTGTTTAAATAGTCAAGCAGCTTTTTTGTTTTTCAAGCAAAATAGCCTTATAGTCGTATAAAATTATTTTTTTAAAAAAACATACTTTTAGGTTGAAAAATAAATTTTCCAGTGAAACCATTGAATTTTGAATTTGTTGAACCAGTTGTCGATAGACGTGCTTCTATGATTAGGATATTCTTCTTTGAGATATAATGGTGTTGTTCCATTTCATTCAGTGTACCGCATAATTCATAACTGTATGCATCATTGGCGCCTATTTCATTTTCCTCCAAATTGTCATATATTCTTATATACTCTGAACATCTAAAATTGTAAACAAAGGAAAGTATTGACGTCAGAATTCATTATTTGGAAATGCTGAATAAGAAAAATAGATATTTTTTGCTTCCTACTTCTAATCAACTTACTGTGTATATGGGATAAATGAAATAATCAAGTCTCAATGAGAAAATTTTCACCTAGTGAAGTAAAGGTACATCTTGCGTAGGATTCATCATTTATTTTGTAAATTCTTTGCTTTCCGGGTGAAACACTGGGCTTAAAGGTTCGATCTTTGATTTTCAGTAGCAACAATGTTTGTTTTTTACAGGGTGAGTTCGCTAGCCTCATGCCCATCCTTCCCTCTTTGCTGCTGGCTAAGCAGAACTAAGCGAGGCATTGTCTGCGGATCGAATCCTGGGCCACGTGGGGCATATTTGTCGAACCACCGGTGGATGAAAACTGGCGAGTACTGTTTCGTCCTAGTTTGGGATTGTTCATCAGTATGCCTGAGTATGACTCAACCAGGGATGAAACGCAGTAGCCTCAGTTTGCAACTTCAAATCGCATACCATACAGTCGCCGGAACAATGCTGTTAGCAGAGCGGAGTTTTAATTCATAGACCGCGGGGTTAAGAGCAAGTACACTCCCATTGTGCGACTTTCCTTAATTTCAGTCGTATGGATTATAATCTTTTTGGGTTGTTATGGAAAGTTATAAGCTAACAGTGGTTATTAAATTCTTCTGTCCTCTTTTTTGACCCGCTCCCACTCCTCGTGTTTCTATTTTGAAAAGCGGGTAATTTGATGATGACCCACACTACAAAAGTTTTTAAGGATGCGTTAATTTGATAACATTTTCTATCTTATCATTCGAACATTGAACTGCGTCATTACTTTCCTTCTTTTATAAGCAACTCGTGTTTTAGGTAGTCTGCAACAACTGATGAAATACAGTGATATGTTCCTATGTATGCTGCTCATATACAATTAAAAAGGGGATAGCGTTATTAGAAGACGGAGATTATCTGAAAAGTTATGTGATGTATTTGTGCTATACATTTCAAACAATCTGATCACACATTTACTTGTCAAGTCAATATATATGAAATTAAGGGCAATTAAATTAAACAAAGTGACGAAAACAAAAAGGATTTAAGGATGATTAACACAACGTTTGGTAATCCAATGAAATAAGGATTACCAAGGTAGGTTAAGAGTAATAATAAACTGTTTTTGAATACACAGGCGGGGGGGGGCTTAAGTTTATGAATAGCTATAGTCTCAGTGTATTTCAACAAGTGCTCTTGACCATTTCTATAGATGACTTTAAAAGCTGAGTTAATATCAATCTTATGGTTCATCTCGATTAGGTGTTTAGCTATAGACTCTTGTTGAAAACGGATATCCTATAAAACTTTTTAAACAGGTGTAGAAGTTAATTAGTCTTTAAACCTACAATCTATACCGACCCTAAGAAAAAAGAGAGACAGTGGTGAATCTTGCACTGCCCTGGTGACAACAAAAAAAATATACAACAGCTTGTTTTTGTTTCCAAGCCTAATTGCCTAATTATTCTATAAATATTTAGAAACTGTCAAATATTGATCACAGTTCATTTGAATTATTCTATGAATAGTCAGTGTTTGTAAATCTTAATTAGTTAAATCATTCCGGACTAATGTTACTTTTACTTCCTACCAAATACTCCTTGCGATCGTGGAAAATTATGTTCAAATCTTTAATGTAATGTAATTCATATTTTTCATCGTTCAGGTTGTAACCAGTTGAGAAGAATCCTTGAAATAATAAAAGATGAGCTCATATTATCCTGATACAATTGTTGTTTTTGCTTTGTTCAAGTTTATTAATGGGAAGAATTGCATGAATTTTTTGAAAAAATGTTTTCATCAAATTACCATATCATGGGAAAATAAACAGTAGGATTTTGAGACAAAGGTTGAATTCGGTCATTCATAGAATCTATCATGCTGCCCGGCTTGTAATTATCGGAAAAGCCAAGAATATACTCCTCTGGAAACCTCAAAAGTGCACAAGTGATTATGTCACATCCCACACTATTTACCAATTTTCGTGTGTGTGTGGGGACACGCATACATTGGGAGGAGTAATCGCGCTTTGCATCTGAACGTGGGAGCACATATCCAGAAATGGTTAGAAAAACAAATGAATTGTGAAAAACCAATAGATGCAGGTGTCAGACTACCAACTTCGTCTATAGCTAAACATCTAATCGAGATGAACCATAAGATTGATATTAACTCAGCTTTTAAAGTCATCTATAGAAATGGTCAAGAGCACTTGTTGAAATACACTGAGACTATAGCTATTCATAAACTTAAGCCCCCCCCCGCCTGTGTATTCAAAAACAGTTTATTATTACTCTTAACCTACCTTGGTAATCCTTATTTCATTGGATTACCAAACGTTGTGTTAATCATCCTTAAATCCTTTTTGTTTTCGTCACTTTGTTTAATTTAATTGCCCTTAATTTCATATATATTGACTTGACAAGTAAATGTGTGATCAGATTGTTTGAAATGTATAGCACAAATACATCACATAACTTTTCAGATAATCTCCGTCTTCTTATAACGCTATCCTAATTTATAAAAGGAACTAATTGTTTTGTATTATTAATTATTATTTTAATTTTACTGCTTTGCGTTTCTAGTGGAGCTTGAGTTTCACAGTTTCAATGGCGCTGACGACGTTTACGGGATGGGATTGCTAGTCTCATGTCCAATCTTCCCTCCTTACTGGGATGACTACCACCTAAGTGAAGTTTAGGCGTATATCGTTTGAAACTATCTGAGGCGTAGTTGGTGGGTATTCTACCTCTTAATCATCGACGCTGAATGCAACTCTTCTGCGAAGCCAATGATTATTTGTATTTCAGTGGAAAAGCTATTGAAGGCGAAACGGGAAATAAAAAGGATTCGACAATATGAAGAACCAATTAAACAAGAGATAACAAGGAACAAAGCCAGACAAATACGAGAATAGATGACATTACCTCACATGATGAGATTAATTTAAGATTTAAGAAATTTAAAAATGTCAATTATACTTTAATTTTGTGGATGGTGACCAACAGTGGAATCCAGGAGTAGCGTTTCGTCCTACTTGGGACTCGTCATCAAGATGTATCAGTATTCCCCAGTGAGTGATGGTGTTCTCACCAAGGCTCGAACCCAGTATCCATCGTTTCTACTACCACTAAACTTCACTAAAGTTAGGATCTGTTCTCACCATTCTTTATCTCTTCGGTACCAATAGTAAGGTGAATCAGTTTTCGGGGTAGATGACCGTGAAATGAAGTTGGCTTTTTAGCTTAAATGAGCCTTTTCCATCTGAGTCGTTTTGGATAGACAGAAACAGACTGTAAATATACGTGAACGATATTCCATCACAGTGAACTGTTTTGAGAAGAAGTGATCGAAAAGATTTGTATGATCTTCGAAAATACTGTTGAGTTATTGTTAATATTTAGGATTTCTCTTAGGGTGATTATTTGATAATCTGTAAATTTCATTGTCAGGTATATGATGATATCACATATGCCAAGCTATTCACAATGGGAAGCTCAGTAAAGCATTTGAAGAGACGAGGAGTAAGACAAGGCTGACTACCATCTCTTATGATATTCTCGACTCTGGTGAGTTAGATCATGCAACAGATAGTGGAGAGTCATTAGACAGGAATTCGTTGGGCAGACAAGAAGACTATAGAAGATCTGCACTTTGCAGAGGGTTTAAATATAATATCACACTAGCTGGAAAGTCTACAGACAAAAATAAACAAGTTGACAGAAGAGGCAGAGAAGACATCAATTGAGTTAAACATAGACAAAACGGGGGTGCTGAAGATAAATAACCAACACGAAGCACGATTCACTATCGATAGGAGAAATTTCAAGGGTACCACATCTTCCACTTATCTAGGCAAAATAGTTTTAGCTACAGGCGGCATTTATGAGTATTTAAATGCCTACCAGGAGAAAAGTAAGTGATATCCTCATTAATATGAAATCACTCTGGAAATTTATTGCATTCACCATAAGAAACAAGATTCGGATTTTCAACGTTAATGCTAAGATAGTCATTGCTTTTGTATGCTTGACAGATTTGACATACATATCAACAAAAACATTTCAACAGGCTGCAGAACGTGAAATGATGAATTAGACGTGCGTCCAAGGGGGACATTACGGAGATCGTGTGAGGAGGAGATGAAAGCTTATCGGCAACTGTGAGGCCAGTCGAGGAGGACTGCAGTGATCAGGATGAAACTGAGATATTCTACTGCAGCCCTGCGTTCCACTTGGAAACCAAGGAGATAATAACAATCATATCCAACATCTATTCGCTGGGCACTGGAATGATGCATCATGCAGCTAGGTGAAAACGTGGCCAATTTAACTACTGGAACTCACTGAGTACTCTAGATGAGAAGCATGAAATTGGTTGGTCTTAAGTGAACAATAAGTGTAATCATTACAACCTTACGGGAGTACAGTAGGAAGCAAAAATAACCCAGTAGTAATATCACTGATGGCCATACTAGATAATGTGGGTTCGAAACTTCCCTGATATATTATTTTCCTTGAGGTTGTGGATAGATCCTGCTGACTGGCATGGATGAACTCAGGCTACCAAATGCCTCTAGTAATACATTTAAATATACAGTACAGTCAAAAATGTTTCCGCTCCAGGATTTCAAAGTTCATTTCATCCATTGATATGCAATACTAAAGAGTACTGAAAATCTTTGAAACAGAATATCTGAAGCCTCAGCCTACATGAACTTAATTCATTCTGTGGAAACTTATCTTCATATCCTTTATCTGAGAATCGAACACAGATATTGGATTTCGTTAATGAATATCTTTCAGACATTGACTGATTTCAGTGAAAACTACTTCAAATTCGGTATTCCTAGGCCGACATCCTGGATTCCTCTGACTGTTGCCATCAAACAAAATAATGTCATATAAATCTTTCCACATGCGTCGGTGGCACAAC